CCCCAAAACCCCAAAACCCCAAAACCCCAAAACCCCTCAAACGATGCTCAAGATTTATATAATTTGTGGTTATAATAATTAAATATGAACCTTATAAAACTCGCTTCCAAAAGTTCCAAGTTGCGAACCTTCAACGTGAAGAGACTGAGTCCACTTGGTTTCAACAGACTCTTCAGTACAGGAATGTCAAACAGAGAAATTTTAAATTATGAACCTGGTAAAGATATCAATGAGGCTAAAAAGAGTATTCTCGAGAAGACCAAGGCATCTTATAATGCCATGAGCACTGGAGAAACTCCTGAGTACACCAAAGAGGGCTTCAAACTTAACAGAAGACAGGCATATGACAATTTTATTGACAGAATGTTCGAAATTTACAGGGAAGAGAACAAATTCCTCCAAAATTTAGTTGACTCTACTAATTACAACCTTGCTTTAAAAGAAATTCACAGATATGACCGAATGGTTGATGCTAAGAGGGCTAAAGGACATACAGCTAATGCATTCCATGACTATACACTCAATGAGTTATTTGAGAGCAGTACTTTTGTATCCAGCATTGAAGAGCTTGAGCATAACCTCCTTCCAGGAAACTTCATGACACCCCATTCGATATCTGAAAATTTGGACAATCTAGCACAGCTCGGATACAAAAGAACAAGCTTGGTGAGAAAGATCAGAGAAAAATTAGTCTGTATTCTTCAGAATAAGGATGAGAAGCCAGAAAAAGAGTTCGATATCCTTGACCCAATCTATGGAGATAAGACTGGTAGAATGGCAAGATACAATCTCTACAGTGGATTCAGAGACTCTAAGGAGTTCTACAGCCATGTAGAAACTCTTCTCAACTGGAAAACAGAGGAAGAATCATTTGCCCAAGCTAGGGAAGAAGTTGAAGCCATTGAGGGAGAGGACCGGAAAGCATTCCAAGAAATCCTCTCTCTTATGAAGAATATTATTGAAGCTGGTAAAGAAATCAAATTTATTCAAGCCGAATTTGCAGAGGCTATTGAAGAAGTTAGAAGCCAGTATTCTCAACTTGCATCTGCTTATGATCAGACTGACTTCTTGCAACACAATAAATACCTTAAATACGACCTTCTTGAGCTCCAAGAGAAGCTTGTGGAAGCTGGAATCATGAACCCAGATGAAGCTACTGGAATATCAGCTTACGAAAAGATGCCTCTCGATGAGAAGATGAGCCGAGCTAAGGAGCTTTTCTATGATTTGACTAAGGATTATTACCCTGAGATGATTCCAATTACTGACCATCTGCTTGATCCAGTCAACAATACCCCAATCAGAGAGAATATTTCTCTTCTTGAAAAGGAAAGGCAAAACGAAGTTAGTCTCAAGTATATTGGTCTCATATGTGGAAGACTTGCCGAGATGCATCAGAGTATTCTTAGAGATGATGTGCCAATCAATGATTATTTTACCGAAAAATGCTATGGCAAGGAGTTCTTGAGTGACCCACTTGCCAAGAAGAAAGATCCTCAAGTAGAAGCAATGAACAAATACTACACAATGTTCTGGAAGGAAGTCACAGAGACTTTCAATCTACTCCTTCCAGAAGTCAGAAGAATTTTAAGCAGTAACGAGGCTGTTCCACTCAACCACATGCTGTGCCTCTGCTTCGGTATTTATGGTGGGGAAGTTCCTGATCCAGAAATCAATTGAAAAATTGAAGGAAAGGTTTTGCAGGCAATAGAAGAGCCAATAGCAGAATATAGCGTAGATGATCTTATTATTGGAACACAAGGATTAGCTAATTCATTAATTACCTATGAAACTCAAGAAAAGGCATTTGATGCTATTAAGGATCAGATCAATCAAATCGATATCCATGAACTCAACCTTAACAAGAAATTGAGGCTAGCTTGGGGGCTCACAGTTTTAGAAAGATTTGATTCACCAATCCTTCAAGAATTAGTCAACGATTTCAGAACAATGCCATTCGAGAATGTCCAAAATGAGTTGACTTATGATGAATTCAGAATGCTCAGAGATATCTTCTATGGATTAGAACACCTCAACACCAATGAAAACCTTAAGATGAACAACTTCGACATCAAAGTCCTTGTTTCGAATTCACAAGATCTTCTCAAGCAATATCCTCAAGAGGTAAAGAAGTTAGACCCCTTCAGGAAGAAGATCTTTGATGGACTCAGTAAGCACCTACAATAACCTATAGCGACTTGACTCAGCAAACTAGGATTGGAAAAACTAGATGATGCCAGAAGTATTCGGTTCCAGACTGAAGGAGAGACTAGTAACGTTAACCAATACAAGTACCCTTACAAACCAGATTTGTTGTTCTCCCATAGAGACAAGACTATTGTAAGTACTATGCATAAATCTCCTAGGCACTGTGGCTCAACAATAGAGGAAAATTCACTGATAATAGTGGGGAACAGCTCAGAAACTTTTCTGGAAATATTTATACAGGTAGTCAGAGATACCATGAGAAGATTTTAAGAACTCTGAATCCAGACAGGAACATCAAGAATTCTTACGTTTCAATCGAGGATATGATGGATTATGATTTAGTTCATCTCAAGGCAGATGTCAATACTGACTCCTTATCTAAGCTGAGCTTCTTGCAACAAGATCCTGCAAATATGCAACTAGAAGATTTAGCTAAATTTACTAACTGGTTCATAGAAGCTGCGCCAATAAGGAAGAAGATGCAAAAATACTCCACATTCGAAAATGATGCAGATGAAAAGTTTACAGAAGCTTTGTTGGAATTCTTTGAGCTAAGGCACTCTAATATGAGTAGAACGGTAGTTGCTAATGTTGCTCATTATGATAATATTAAAGCATCGTTAATGAAGCTGCAACTCTCATGGGAGAGTCTCAGCAATGATACTCGTGAAACTGTCGACCAGTACATTCAAAAGCTTGAACACTCTGATTTCGAAGGCCTCCTCCTCAAAATCAAAGATGCTCTTACTGACGAAATGCCCAAACGCAACCCTCATGTCGACCCACAACTCAACGCCAGCTGGGTCGGGATCAGGTATGGTGTTGAAGTGCCGAACAGCTACTTGACAACTGCCAAGAAAGACCTCGGAGTTGAAATTCTTGACAGGAACTTCATGTGGTGTGATGACTACTTCCACTACGATGACTGGAGGTCCACTCTCACTGACTCGTTCGACGGGTTCAACTTGAACGTGAAGGCTCCTGCTGACCTCAAAGGTGATGAAAAGTTCTACTTCCAAGACGGATGGAGAAGAACTCCTGCAGGCATATTCCCTGACGGTAAAGGTCTCAGAGACCTGTGAATGCCTAACTTCGACAGCGAAGTCAAGAAAGGGTTTGTGTCGAAGCTCGACCTGATCAAGCACCGCAACTTTGATGGAGACATGACTGGTAAGTTGTTACATCACTTTTAGCCGAACACGAAGCCAAGCCACTGATTGTAGAAGAACTCCTCAGACACAAAAGTCCGGTAACCACTGAAGTGAGGATGATAGCGAATCTTCAGAACATCAAGAACTCGCTGAAGAAAGAACACTCAGACGCACAGATTCTGGAATACATTTCAGGGTTCGACTTCATCGATGGTTTGATTGGAGAACACTTGGCATCGTTTGAGAGAGCAGAAGGAGTGAAGACAAGCCCGAGAACAAAGTTTGTCGGAAGGGATGCTGGGAAATACAGACAATTCATCCACAAGCTTGATAATATCAAGGATAGATACGATCCTTACACTAATTTCTTCTTAAAACAAGCTGGGCATCAAGAGACCACAAGGAATATCCTCCCTGAGAAGATCAGAAAAGCTAAAACACAAGAAGAGAAAAACTTTTATCAAGAAATTCAGGACAGTTTGATGCTGACAGAATTGTTCAATGATAGATCTCAACTTAATATTGGTACATACGTACACAAGAAGTACAAGGCGAACTATAACTACGATTCTCTTATAGTTGACCAGAACAACTATTCAAGAGATCCAGAGGCTTACTCTGAAACCATATCTGATGAACTCTTCTTAAAGAATAAAAGGGCTAGGGCTGAATCTAACTTGATTAAGACTAAGATTCTTTCCAAGCTACATTCTGAGCTTCCTCTGACATCCAATGAGAAAGCATATCTTAAGTATTGGAACGAGTCGATTGCTTCTACTAAATGGGGGCATTTGGATACCTGAATGGTTCCAACAAGTCACTCAAATGCTAACTTAAGCTCTCTTTCATCCGATGATAATGGTAAATTCAACAGCTTGAAACTAGTCGATATATCTGGGTTGGAAAACTATGCTCTGAACGATATTGCTCTTGAGCTAGACCACTTCATTGACGATGAAATTATCAACAATCTTCAAAAGGAAATCAAGGTAGAGAACCTTAAGGATCTATGGGACTTGTCTCCTGACTACAGGTTCACAGAAAGAAGAAACAAAGAAATCGACCTCGTCCTAGGAGAACTCGAGGAGAAAGCTTACAGATATGGAGGCCAATTCACCGACCAAGAAATAGAAGGCATGAAGAGAATGTACAAGATCAATAGAGGTGAAGGCATCTTCGACCAACAATGGCTCCCACTTGATGTGAAGGAATTCGAAGATTTCGAGTTCAACAAATTTGATGACAGACTCGACATACTAGAAAGATGTAAGTACTCAAAGGCTATTAAAGGCTGGGTTTAGAGTTTTGTGGCTAATAGTTTAGGGTTCGAGAAAAAGGAGAGGGAAATCAAGACCAGAATTTACCTTCCCAAAGAAGACCTCAACACAAATGCATTCTATGCTTCCAAATTGAAGGAAAAGACTGTGGAACTTATGATGGGAATGTTTGGAAAATCTTATGGAGATATTTCAACCCAAGATTTGAACCAATTCATTGAAGGAATCTGCTCCAGAATGATGCTATTCGATGGTGATTATCCAAATTTCCTACCATACATTATAAAGGAAGTCGTAAATCATCCAAATATCTCTAAAATTGACAAAGAACATCTGGAGTCTTACAGCGATATGTTTGACATAAGGTGGAGAGATGATATCTCAAAGCCACTGATGATCTCACCTATTTACACTGAAGACAGTAGGAAGGTTGAAAACGACTTAGATTCAGCAAGTGTGTCTGAGAAGATGAGGAAAGCGAATATTCCATATATAGAAACCCTCAAGAGAAGCGTGATGGAACATAGATAATTCCTTTCAATAATCACACCCTAAGCTGGGGTTTTGGGGTTTTGGGGTTTTGGGGTTTTGGGGTTTGGGG